ATCTCACGTCAGTTCAAGTTAAACAAGAAACCTTTTAAGCGAATAGAATAAATGGTTCATAAATAAAAAAATTTACCTTAGACATTGTTTTCACGGAAAATTTTTCCTTAGAGGTTAGCCGATGTAGTCTAACGGTTAACTTGTCAAGCTGTTAATGAAAATAAGTGTTAAGTAAAAATCATAAGTGATTATTGGTTACCTCTGTGATTAAATATCCGAAAACAAAACCAAAAATTGCAAGAGAACCAAGAGTGTAAAGACCGTTAATTGCCATTAAATCTGCGAAAAAGTCATTGTAAGCTCGAACAATAAGCCCAAGGAAAATGGCTGAATCGGCTAATAACGAGTACACAAGAGCGTAACACAAAAAGATATATCGTAACTTGCGAGAAGCCAACTCAAAGCTATTAAGACGACTGATGATTTGTAAACAGAATGATTTAATATCCTTTTCAGTGTAAAACATGTTTCTGTTCAACAAAATTTCCGCTAAATCGAGTAGATCGAAAAACCGAAACAGATGAAATGCAAGCACACACAAAAAGAACCAGGAAAATCCTATGATCGAGCTCAATAAGAAAGTACCAACAAAGATGGCCAACAATAGCCAGATAGTAGCGAAAATAGCAAGTTCAGGAATCTTGTATGTCCAAGGGTTGATCAGTAATGGTGTGAGAAACAGAAATGAAATAAAAAATGGAGCCGATATCACCAAATTATAGAACAGAACAGAGATGCAAAAAGCGCTGAATCTGAATCTTTTGATGTTACGACTGTTCATACTTAAATTAACCAAGTTGAAACCATCTCGGCAATGTTTCCATATCGACAGTACTTCTAATTCACCTTTAGCCTCGAGGTGTAATATCCATTCTCGAAAAGGAAACATAATTGAAACGGCAAATGCAAACAATGATAGAATGAGAACACGATCTTTACTGTGATAAAAGGAATCCCCAAGATAAATAGCAATAGTTTCGTTGGTATTGAATACGAGTACAGTAAATCTGAAAAAATTGGCCACCGAAGTGATTGCTATTATCCAGTCTAGCAAGTTGAGTCGACGATAACCAAATGCATTTACAGTGGGAATGTTAGTTTGATCCAAGCCCCTACGAACAACTTGAAAGGTAATCGCCAATCTTTCTGTTCGTCTTACAAAATCGCTAACTTTTCGGTCAAACTCTTTTGAATCAGGAATTGTGGTTAAATAAGAAAAAATTTGTTTCCAAAACTTCAAGTATTTCAAATACTTTAAAATGTAGCTTTGCTTTTTCTTGCCATTTTTTATATTTCCAGGCAACATTTTCTTTCCATTGAATCAAACTGAAGCTTGATGATCAAAATGAAACTTGAAGCATCTTTGATTTTAATCTTGAATATTTCGTTATTGTTCCCAATTTTAATTCTCATAAGCATTATGAAATACTGTGTATCTGTGCTCACTACTCATAGATAAGAAACGCAATGTTTTCCCATGTATTTATCAATACTTAATTTGCTCAAATCACCATAAAAGTTTTCACTTTCAAAATGTCGATGCAAAAATCAAAAACATTGTTGATGTATTTTGCCAGAAATATCAATTTTAATTGCTAATTTCATCACCAACAATCAAAACAACCATGGCAAATCGTATTTTATTAAAAATCAATACACAATAAAACTCAAGTTTTAGTTATAATTATTTTATAATTTAATAATAAATGTAGTTTCGAAATTGAAGATTTCTTCGAAAAATGATTTGCGGATTGTCTGATCTTTTTGATAAACAATTAGAGCTTATCGTGATCATTTCATTGATTAAATCGAACGTAATTTTCGCTCAGAGCTTTCCGTTGTAATATTGTAGCTCATCCGTCGGTAAGTTAAAAAATATTACATAAGCATGTAAGTGTTTGGAAAATATTGCAAATAATAAAGAAGATTGTGCGAATCTGCCTAATGTTGGTCCAAGAATCGGCAACGGGTGGAAAACGATTGAAAACTGGTCAATCAATCAAAAGAAGGCCTGGATCTGGACAATTTTCTATTTTTGAATTCTGCCGCTAGGAGACGTCTCGATCGAGTTTTTCAAAATTGTTCAGTTTTATCTAATGAACAAATTGCCAATCGGCTCAATGAACTTAATGCTGCTAAAGTGAATCGCTTTACTATTGGACGTGAGCTGAAACGGCTGAAATAAAAAGATTTAAGCCGCGTTATAAGCCCTTTTATCGACTAGTCATATCAATCGGAGCGTCAAATTTTGCAAAGAAAATTCAGTTCGTGACTAAATCGATAATTATATATTTTTTGATTGTAATTTTCGCGCAGAACTTAATTATTAACATGTTTCAGACTTATTATTCGTCGATGAAAATGTTCGGTTCACATCAACAATCATCAACATCTTTTAAATTCTCTTGATATTGGCCTTTGGTCTAAAAACTTTGAGCCTCAATACTTCGATAATGGTAGCATCTAAAATGATCATTATTTGACCAATCATGCGATTTTACTGTAAATTAATAGGCAAGCAATTGATTGAATAAAAATACAAGTTGATGTGAAAAATATTTATTATAGTGGGACAACGGCATTAGCGTATTATAAAACCGCTTAACAGTTAAAGTTAGAATCAAATTGATTTTCATTGTTCAATCAGCAATATTTACGTTTGAATCAGAGGTCCAATGTTTACTGTAAATAGCATCAAAATTGATAAATTTTCCATGATGAACTATTCAATAAAAGAAAATAAATTTAGTTTTTTAGAAAACAATATTCGAATGAAATCTTACTAAAATTAAAAAGCGTTTCTCGAGAGTAAAAAAGTCTCCGATTTTGACACCATTGTATGGTCCAGCAACTCGATCCATGATCTCCATGACCTGGAAGAAAGGCCAAACTCATCAATATTGCGGCTCGTTAATAGCATTTCTATTCATATAAATTCAAATTCATATTTTATAAAAACTCAATAAATAAAATACACTTTACCTTGCTCATTATTTTCACTGAAAATTTGCCCTTAAAGGTTAGCCGGTGCAGTCTAATGGTTAATTTGTCAAGCTGTAATGAAAATACAGGCAAAATCAAAATGAAATAAAAAAATATATAAATACAATAAATATATAAAATGCGCGTGATTATTGATTACCTCTGTGATTAAATATCCAAAAACAAAACCAAAAATTCCAAGAAAACAAAGAATGAAAAGACCGATAATTGCGAGTAAATCTGCAAAAAAGTCATTGTAAGCTCGAACAATAAGCCCAAGGAAAATGTTTCCATCGCCAACTAATGAGTACACAAAAGCATAACACAGTAAGACGTATCGTAACTTGCGAGAAGCCAACTCAAAGCTATTGAGACGACTGATGATCAGTAAACAGAATAATTGAAAATCCTTTTCAGTGTAAAACATGCTTCTGTTCAACAAATTTTTTGCTGAATCGAGTAGATCGAACAACCGGAACAGATGAAATGCAAGCGCACACAAAATAAACCAGGCAAATCCTAGAATGGAGTTGAATAAGAAAGTACCAACAAAGATGGCCAACAATAGCCAGATCGTAGCGAAAAAAGCAAGTGCAGGAATCTCGTATGTCCATGGATTGATCAGTAATGGTGTAAAAAACAGAAATGACATAAAAATTGGAATCAATAGCATCATATAATAGATCATAACAGAGAGAAAATAAACGCAGAATCTGAATCTTTTGATATTACGATTATTCATACGCAAGTTGACCAGGTTGAAACCATCTCGGTTATCCTTCCATATCGACAGTACTTCAAATTTGCCTTTAGCCTCGAGGTGTAATATCCATTCTCTAAAAGTAAACGCAATTGACATGGCAATTGCAAAAAATGATAGACAAAGAACTCGATCTTTGCTGTGTAAAAATGAATCTCCGAGATAAATGGCAATAGTTTCGTTGGTATTGAATATGAGTACAGTAAATCTGAACACATTGACCACCGAAGTGATTGCTATCACCCAGTCTAGCACGTTGAGTCGACGATAACCAAATTCATTTACAGTGGGAATGTTAGTTTGATCCAAACCTCTACGGACAGCTTGAAAGGTAATCGCCAATCTTTCTGTTCGTCTCACTAAATTGCTAACTTTCCGGTCAAACTCAGCTGCATCAGGAATTGTGGTTAAATAAGAAAAAATTTGCTTCCAAAACTTCAAGTAATACTTCAAATACTTTAAAAAGTAGTCTATCATTTTCTTGACACTTTTTGTATTCACAGTCAACATTTGCTTTCCATTGAATGAAAATGAAAAAATGAAACTTAAAGTTTCTTCGATTTGATTCTTAAATATTTCACTATTGCTTTTCAATTTTTAATCGTCATAAGGATTATGAAATAAATGTGTTCACTACTCATATCTAAGAAACGCAATGTTTTTCCATGTATTTATCAATATTTAATTTGCTTGAGTCACCATTAATGTGTCTACTTTCAAAATGTGTATCCAGATGAAAATCAAAAAATAAATTGTTGATATATTTTACCAGAAAAACAATCTAATGGCTAATTTCATCACCAACAATCAAAACAACCATGGTTAGGTATGAAGCAAATCATATTATATTTTAAATCAATACTCAATAAAACTCGAGTTTTAGTTATAATTATTTTATAATTCAATAATGAATGCAGTTTCAAAATTGAAGCTTCCTATGAAAAACGATTTGTCTGGTGTTTTTTGAAAACAATTAGAGCTAATTGCGATCATTTCATTGATTGAATCAAGAATATCTTTCTGGAATGTAATTCTCGCTCAGAGCTTTCTGTTTTAATATTGTAGCACATCCGTCGGTAAGTTAGTTGTTTACTAAGAAATCTTGATTAAATAAAAATGTGAGTTAATTAAGCTGCCTTTTTAATAAACCTACGATCTTCAAAACCGCGGTTGATTTTAAATTAGCAGCAATTTTTAACCAGAAAACTATGGAAACCTTTGTGTGACTAAAAGGTTACCATTGGTAGATGATTAGATTGGCTGTTACTTAACGCCTTTCATTTCATCTTTATGTTTGAAAATATCTAACATGTTTCTTCAATTCCTACTATATCGTGTTCAGTTAAATGCCATGAATTAAATTGTCAATGACTATATTCCTAATTGCCTGTTAATTTCACCAAAGATCAATTCGTTCTCATCTAAATCGTTTCTCCACTCTTTTTACTGTTTGTTTCCCATTGAAATGCAACTGTAAATCAAATGTTACAGTCTTTCTTTTTTTGCTCTCCATTCAATTAAAAATTGAATTCCTTTTTTCCTCTTTAGTGTAAAATTTAATTTGATACACAATTTTAATTTGTTATAATCCATTGAAAGTAACTATTAATCTCTAAATTGGATCAATTTATTAAAAATTTGATTGCTTTCTCTTCTCCAGTTGTACTGTTTTGTGTGGTGCCATGTTTTGGATGCAGACCCAGTGATCGGTTGTATTAACTCACCAGTCTACATTTTTGTTTCACCTTTTTTTCTTGGACAATCAATCTTACTTTTATTCAACTAGAAATGATTATTTTGTATTATTTGATGGTAAAAGATTCAATGGATCTTCATTTTAGGTTGATTGCCGGGAGACGCTTGAAATGATTGGTTCCTATCATGACTGGTGACTATTATTTGATTCCACCGGAATGAATTGTATTGGATTATTTAAGATTATGTGAACCAAAAGGAAATGAAGAGTGACACTATAACCATTTATTGCACCATTAAACTAAGGTAAGAGATCAATCAATCGAGTAACTTATTCATTAAATAACCATTCTCTTCTGTATATTTTATTAGCAAAAAATTACAGCAAATTTGTACATAAAGATACTGACAACCGTTGGCGTTCATCATTATTTTCATTTTGTTCAGCATTTTAAAGCAGAAGAATATCCATTTCTGCTATCAAATATCTGGCATCACCATACAAATTAAGATTCATAGGTTTGGAATCATCAATCAAACTGATCAATCAACAAGTCAATCAATTTTCAAAGCTAGGAGTTAATAGATGCAGTGGTTTATTGGTTGAAAATGGTCAAGGAGAACCTGGCAAAAATTAAACTTCAAATTGAGTCGAAAAAGATTTGATCAAATTATCAGGTCTCATGGTAAGAAAAAACATTTTAGAGATATTTCTCTGTTATCCAGCCTTGATCACTATCATTGTCATTTGGTAAAATGATTTCAAGTCATTATCATCACCATTAAACTAATATATCTTTCACTTCAATCTACTAGTGACAACAATAGGATCTAAATGGTACCTTTCAATGGCGAAACTCTTGGTCTCTGTTTCAATCAAGGAGAAGGGAATAAAAGCTTTTGAAACAAAATTAGATGTTACCATGAAACTGGAATGGAATAGACATGGAATATCGGAATAAGAATCTTGCAACTTGAAAATAAAGAGGAAAAAGAAAGGAAAGACAAAGAAAGGATGGAAAGAGATGATAATTTAAATGTTGGAAAGGATTGAAAGGATAGTCCAAGTCAGGTAGACTAAGAGAAAGTGGTTATTCAACAATTCATGGGAGATGATCAAGAAGATGGAGAGGATGAAGAAGGTCGAAATTTTAAGTGAGCCGAAAGAGAGAATAGAAAAGATAAAGAAAGAGTTTTAATGTTATCTCGAATGTTTTCCTCTTTCCTGAGTTGATTCACTATCGTTCGTTGCTTCACCGCTTCTATTCTGACTACTTTTGGATCCTCCTTTAACCAACATGTTGAAGTTGATTTGGATGATGATGATGATGATGATGAGCATAATGGAAAAAGTCGACTTTTTGGAGGACGACGACTAAACTTAAATTCATTCATTCTTACTTTGAAACTGACTGCGGTAAACACCAGTTCAACTATTCGCACTCTCTACAAGCACAACAAATGCAACAATCAACAGCCAATTAACCAGCCAACCAGTCAATCAACAGCAACACCAACATTATCACCACCAACAACAGAAATAAAAACAAACGTTTTTTTCCCAACAATTTATCAACTCAGTTTATCTCAGTTTATTTTCAGTTTACTTTTGTTTCACTTTTCACAATCTCTTACAATTCTGATTGTTGTTGATCTTTTTTTGCCGCTGATTTGGTTGTCTCCTTCAGTCTTGCCCTTTTATCATCACCTTTAACCTGTGATGCATCTTCTCACATTTTCTTCCTCATACGGAGGTTGACTTGGGTTAAACCGTTGTTTGAACCATTGGATCATCAAATAATCTGACTGTTTCCCACAAATAAACGGATCATAATATTCACTGTCAGTGCCTTAAATGTGACTTTAAAACCATCATATATTGTTGACCGTTCAATGTTAAACTATGTAACTAGTTGATGTGTTTCATGCCCCTGCATTTACCAGCAAAACTGGAACCGATGGTTAAATAGTTGAAGTGAAATTGCTATCTGTTACACACAACACATCTCTAAATTCATCATCAGAATCATCTGTTTTCTTCCAATTCATATGTTAGTTTCATCTATTGTAATTCAACGCCATGGATATTTTTTTCCTTTATTTTCCTCTCCTATTGCTAATCGGCCTTTCAGAACAAGGTTTGTACTAAACTTTGGCTATCAGAAGACAACAATTTACTAGTAAACAGCAAACAAAATCAACATGTAATGCATTATTTGATTATTTGCTATGTTGCCATTAAGCCTAAGGAATAATCAAACCTTACCCTTGAAATTGATGATTATTTTTCCTTACTGCATCATGATCATCATAACCATGAATATAATAATCATCACCATCATCATCATCGATAAAAAACATCACATGAGCAATTTTAATAGCAATTTGTATTTTTGTGGACAAAAATCAACTTTCATAGATCGTTAACCTTCAAAGCAAACCAAAAATGTCAAACGAAATCGCATTTTCCAAGGAAATATTTAACAGTTGATAAGACTGAATCAACAGATTAACCATCTAAGATGTTCATTTAACAGTGAAAATTTAACCTCTGAAAATGAGCAGTTCAATGTTTACTAAAATTGTTGCCAATCTGTTTTACTGGAATCTCAAAATATTTGCCTTTTCTAATGATTTTTTCTTTCAATTTGTCTAGATGATTTCATATCCAATGGATCCAGAGTATTCAAGGAGCTGAAACTGATACCTTTGGATGCAATATTAGAGGAAACAACATCATCTTCAGTGCGATTACCTGAATTTAGTGAGACTCATCAAGAAAGTAATGAAAATATATTGCTAACCTAACAAAAGCCATACCGTCCCTTACTCAAGCCCATTAAGTTGTCATTTAACAATTTGAAGAAGCCAATTGAACTTGTATTTGGTGATAATTATGATGATTATCATCGAGTCACCACTGAATAGCCATTATGTTCATTTGATGAGTCAATCTTTTGTAAACCAATTTTCATCTGGACTTGAATTTAACATGATTTGATAGAGAAACATTTAATTTTGTTTTAGTTGATAAATGAGGGAAATATTGAGCAAATTAAGTCAAACAAAATTGGGTTGATTAAAAGAGGTGACAAAATGAGTGCTCAACAGATGAGAGACTAAAAACCGTAATAGCTTTATAAACATGTATAATTAAAGTCCAGTTGAGAGAGGTTACACATTTGGACTCATCAGCCTGAAATATGAGTCTTGATCATCTTAATTCTCATCATCATTAACTACATTCTCTACAATTTACATTATCCATTTAACCAGTAACATGATCCAAACAGTTAACTCTCTTTCCGCTCTGCTTGATGGTTCAACAGCAGATTATCATCAAGTAAATCTTCAAGTAACATCATCAGAATATCATCTGAAAAAATGTGTCATTATCATCGCCATGATTTTTCCCTCTCTCTCTCTCTCTCTTGTCATCCTCGTCATCAACTTGTTACCAGATTCAATAATACAATTTTTGCAATGTGAACCCATTTTTTGATCCGTTGAGATGTTTAGGCAAAAACAGGCTTCTCTTGAAATCCACAAAATTACCATTTAATTGTTTCCAATTGTAGCCAAATGTATTTTGTCCTCTTCTGCTCATTGTTTCTTGTAGTCAACAGTTAACCCACTAATCAACAGTTGAAATAAATCAATGAATAGCTCCACTAATCAACTAGCAACTCTTTTCCACTCATTTACATTCAATCAACCTTTTCTTGGTGACTTTCAGTCTACAGACGGAAATATTAGCCTCTAAAACAATTTAATAGCTCAACTCTTGATTCCCATTATTATTATAATCATTATTAACTGTTGAATTGTTAAACCATTTATTCAACAATCATTCCCTAAACAAGATACATTTCAAGTTTCACTTGCAATATATTTATATGTATATCTGAATGTTATATAAATACATTGTCATTGGTATACAATTGATTAACCCAAAATTACCTTTGATTAACTTTTCTTACAGTTTGATAAATTGTTCCACTTTCCTACACTCATTATTCAATTAATTGTAGATTACAATTGGAAACAATTAACTGCTTTATTTTTGTCGCTCATTATTGTTTCCATGATTTACCATTAATTGTTGCTCTGTTTTTCAAACAATTTTTAACCTTACACCTAATTCAATTAAAGTGTGATTAACTCGCTATTCATTTAAACCCAAAAATTGTCTCACACAACCCAAACCTCCAACCATTGACTACCAATTCAACTCTTGATTTCAATAGATAACTCTCGGTTAACAGTTAATACAAAAAAAACCAAAGTCAACCAGGATTTACAGTTTAAGCTGAAAAATAGGTTTCACTTTTTTGTCCAACATTCAACTTGCAATCTTAATTGTATCTTTCCTATGTCAACTACAACCAACAATTAGATTAGGTCAATGGATTTAGAAAGATCCAAAAAAGTCTAAATTGCGTCCGGGTTCAACATTGAAATGGTTAATTTTTCAACTCATTTCTTGCTAATTGTTGAATCTTTTTTTAAAAACACTCACAATTGATTCGTTGCCCTTGATGTTGATTAAAAGCTCTTAATAGCAAACTCGTCAAGCTGATCATAAAAATAGCGATTGATATTTTACCATCCAACATTGATCAATTTGTTAATTTGTTTTTTTTGGGTTAATCAATTTTCCCTCCAATTCATTGTCTATTACAATTGTTTCAACCCAAACTGCAATTGTAATTGAAACAATGGTAATTATAATTTTCTTTGGACTTGCATTTAAATCTCTATTTAAAGCAAGGCTATTCAAATGATAATAGTCTCTGGTTTTTATAGTTGAAACGTCAATTACCATTTCAATGGTCATTGTATTAAAAAAAGCCAAATAATGGAAAGATTAATCTCTTTTCATTAAATTGTTCATTAATTGTTTAAACATTAAACATCTTCAAACGCCTACAATATAAATTGTAATCTAGAAGATCAACTTTTCCCATTTAGGTTCAATGTAATCTTACCATTGAAATGCTCTGCTCATTTTGTCCTTCAATCTGGTTTGACTATTAAAAGCAAGTTGAGTTAACCAAAATTATGTTAAATTTGTAGAGGTTAATTGTTGCCTTTTATTGAACCATTTACGTCAAAATGTATCAATCAAATCAATCACTTGAATTGGATTATTAATTATGACAATCATCTTTTTATTCAATCAATCTTTCTCAATTGTAAATCCATTTTGATTTGGATCATCTTACAGACTCCATTGACAGGCTTAACATTTATTAAACGTGATCAACAATTGATTAACTTGTCTCGATTAACTGATGAGCAACACTTGCAAAACCATCAAAAACAACGTAATCATTAATTCACTAATCAAACATAAACTGTGATGACCCAAACTCTGATTTGTTGATCAATTGTTTTCATGTTTTCCAAGACAACAATTAAACCTTTTAATAACAATTAACGTTCAAAATTGATTAAATGAAAAGCTTAAAACAGATTCAACAGCTGAGCAAGTGTCCAAGTTCAAATATCTGGTTTGGTTAACCAAGAATAACTGATTTCTGGTCAAGTTGCTTCTTCATTTTGATGACATTATTCATTTTTTTGTTCATTTCTGGTTTCGTTATTAGTAGCTCAATATATAACCTGGTCACGGTGGTTAATGATAATGATTACATTCAAATTTAGATTAACATTTCAGGTTTGAAGGATGTAAATGACTGACCCAACCTGTAAACCCTTCACTGGACTTACCCTACCATCAATACCTAAGTCTAATACCTTTTCACTGAAAACATTGATTTACCAATTTAATGTTTCATGTCAAGCCAGTTATTAACAATTTATTAATAGACTTTTCAATTTACCAGAAACAATTCAATTTGCATCAATAGTAAATTGAGATTCTATTAATTACAGACATTTTTAGACAAGTCTACATGTTTAGTTGATTGTTAATATCTACAAAACAGTTAATCAAGCCTGAATTTTGTTGAAACTAAATTAAAATGGCAAAACCTGGAAATGATTGAAAATATATCATCAGTATGAATGAATTGAATGCAAGTCAAGATCTTCATAAAATCTTAATTTCCTTAATTCAATATGAATAATCGTATTAGAAGTAAAAGAATTGAAAATTTGATTTTGTCCAAACTCAGTTACAGTTAAAACAAAATATATTGTTTAACCATTAACTGATTGATTTACAATAATAATTGATAACAAAAGCCGAGTCGTTTCCTCAATTATATTTTTATTGATATGATTTTATTGAAACAATTTAAATTTGGCTCCAATTTTCACACCAAATTTGTTCACTTTTGTTGCCTTTTCACATCAACTGTGTTTAATTTTGGTCAATCTTGATTCACAAGGATATAGACAATGATTAGTCCAATTGTGGTTGTTGCTTCAATGAGCCTTAATGATGTGTAAAATGCTCGTTGGTTTAGCAAATAAACAACCCAAAAGACTGACCAAGAGCCTCTAAAAAAACCTAAACCCGAATGACAATGTTAACCCAATGCGAAATGCTTTACCAGCTATTTTCACCTCATAAGAATCAATTTTTATCCTTTAATCTCCATTGTATTAGTTAATCTTGGAGTCTTTAATCAGCCCAAAATGAAGACAAAAATTAAAGGTTACAGTAATTTTAAATGCTCTTCAAAAGCTTCAATACAATTGAAGAGCATGAAAAGGTAAAAAATTGAATATCCAGAAAGATTGAAAGAGTTAATTCCTATTTTTAGAGTAATTTAAGATTGAATCAGATTCCATTTCTCTCACCCATAACACCAACAATGGAGGAAAAGTTGAGTTGAAACTGTTGATGATAACGATGATGATTATCCGCTCTCAATCTCAATCTGAATCCCTTTTCAAAATACAATAAATCTCTCATAATTTAAGCTCAATTGTCAGCTTATTGAGACTACTCTTTACCATATTAACCGATTTAACCAGAAAAAAAAGTATAATCATTTGAAAATTGTAATTCACCATTTAACTGACCATTAGTGACTGTTTCCTCATCACTGGAACAAAACAAAAACAAAAAGCTCTTGTTACTGTTTCAGTTCCATGATGAAGTTACCATGCTTTAGGCTTTTCGTGTAACTCCATTCGCTATCATCTTCATCATCATCACAATCATCATTTATATATTTCCGTAAACCATTAGCTTGAAACACACATAAAAACATTGATTAACTTTGATTTCCTTTTCTCATGATTAGTCAAAAATGAAAACAATCGACAAGTCCAATTGTTTCGACTTTTTAATAACATTTCGTGATTAATGAAATTACATGGTTATAAAGGGTTTCCATTAAATCCAATTATTGAAATTTCGTGATTTTAAATCTCATAACTGTTAAGATGAAAGATGAGTTTGGAAGTGAAAAAATGTTCAAAATTTAGATCTAAATCTCAATATGATTTTGATTGTTTCAAGTGGAAACCAGAAAACCAAGATTTAGAGTTTTCTTTTCCCTGTAAATTAATTGTCACTTTTCATTTTAACCCTGATTTTGATTGCATTTTTAAATTGCAAGTCGACAGTAGTTCATCTTATACACTCATCAATCACACAGCTCATATATTCAGGGTTTTCATCACTCATTGTAATCACATTTAGCACTTGATTAACTTGTACAATTTCATGTGTTCATTAGAAACGAAACTTTTTTTACCTTTTCTCAATCTCATAATTTTCATTACCGTGTTTGCCTTACAGATTATTTCATAGATTTGATTTGCTCTGGAGGTCAATTGTTGATTCATTATTCAACTGTTAATGTAATTGTTTTTACACTTTCAACTGTTGACTTTCCATTATTTTCAAATGTTTATTTACTGTCTTTTTGGTGGAAAAGGAAAAAATGGAAATTTGGTGAAAATTGAAACAAAACCTTGATGAACCTTATGGCTAATCAAGGTTAGATGCTGTACTTCAATTCATATTTAACAAGTTGTCAGATTTAAAACCAATAAACGTCAATGTTAACAATCGTAAAATATCAAAATTAGACAATTTTGGTAAATAATTCTGTTGAGCAAACCTGAAAACCTGACTGTTAAACATTCACAGACTGTTGATGAATACTTTAGACATTACTTCAAACTCAAATCAAGATTCAATCCAAGTCTGTTTCATTAGCTATAAAAAATACTCAAATCTCTTGATTAAAGGCTCACAATCGATTTTGCGAATTTCAATGAAAGTCGAAACTAAAAATCTAGTTTTTATCAAATTCTTTAGCTACCAACGAAATCATGAAATGTGACAGAACTGCAAATTCAATGTAAATTGTATATTCAGTTTATAAAGCCATTGAGATGAAACAAAACGGAGTCTATGAAAAGCTTGTTTTCATCGAAAAATTGAGTTCCTTTAAAGTCAATTATAGTCAAGTTGGATGGAAGTTTATGAAGATTTCAGAATCTCAGGTATGAATATTTAACGGAATAACATGTTGAGCAAAAATTGAATCAACAAATTGATGGCATCTTTGGCAGACTCAAAATTGAATGTAAATTTTGTGAGGCTTTTTCAGTGAATTTCAATTTACAAGATTTGAATATTGTTCAGGTTAAATCGAGAAATGAACATCTTAAAATAATCTTGAGATAATCTCATTCAGTCCATCTTCAGGGTCAATTGAATAATTGTTAAGTTGATTAAAATTGAGTAAAATGTTGATTCAACTTAACCTGAAAATTGATCTGGAAAAAGCTTGAGAATCAAACTTACAATATTTGATTCCAATAAACACTTGGACTACTTGAATTTGTCATTTAATTTGCTAATGTGATTCCATTATTTACATCAACAATTAAAAGAATACTTTACGTCTTAATTGTTGATATCCAATGACAATTATTCAACAGTAAACAGTTAATTACATTACAAAAGGTAAAAAATATTGTTGAGCTTAAACAGCAATCCTTTTCAACTGTTGAAAAGGCTTCAATTATCATTACAACTAATTAACTTAACCCTCAATCATAATTATCAAGATGATTCCGTCTACCATTCAAACCATTAACCCTGTTATTTAACATTTACAAACCATTAAATGCAATGTTTCTCATATTGAACATGCAAAAAGGACATTTCAATTGAATACTTTGGTAATGACCAGAATTGAGTAAAGACAATATTTGTCCGAAAGAACAGAATTTTTCCTTTTTTCTTTTCACCCAAATTACCATCAACTTAATTCAATCATTATCATCACCCAAACTGACCTTTAATCAACTGTTAATAGTTGCAATGATTTACAGTAAAATATGTAAATTATACATTCGATGATCAATCATTAAGATCGTCAATTGTATTTGATTTAGTCAAATTGGTTCTTCTTTATGTTGTTGGAGAAGAATCTAAATTGTATTTATTGTTAAATTATCATCTTTAATACCTTTTGATTGCTATCAATTTCAATAATCATTTTACCATCAATTTAATTGTCCGACTGGTAAACTGTCATTAAAGATGATCATTTGATTGTCTTTTCACTTTTCAACAACATGAGTAAACTGTTATTTGTTTTCACAATTCGTGATGAATAACCACAATTAGTTGATCAACACCATTATCATCTTTAACCATCATTAAATTGTTCATTTCCTATGATTAAAGTTTATCCAAAGATTTATCCAGTTAAGTCAATAATAACGCTTTAATGCCTTGTTTAATGCGGCCAAATCAATTGTTATTTACAATCAGATTGTTTCTCAGTTTTAACTCATCTTTTTAATCATTAACAATTTATTAATTCTTCCGCTTCCTTTTACGCTTAATTATGCAAAAACCTTTTAACCTTTTTGTTTATCAAACCAAATTATAAATCAAGAGGAAAAGTGATAAAATTAGAGATTTTTTCACAACTCAAAAGACAATTCAAAGTTGATCATTTTTGATAACATTTTAATAATAGATTCATAATTGCATTCTGAAACATTCAATTTTATTAATCTTTTCATTGTTCATCATTATCATGTTTAACAAGCAAATAATTTCAGAATTAACTTCAATTGAAAAGCTTGAGACTAATATTGATCAATGAGCTTCAAGACATTCAAGAAAAGTGAATTATGAAAAACATAACCCAAAAATCTGGTTAATTTTTCACTCGAATGTAAAATTGCTTTGATTTTTGATTTTGATAAATACGGTTTCAAGACATTCTGGTAAGAAAAGTGAATTATGAAAAATAGAAACCTAAAATCTAATGAAATTTTTAACCCAAAAATCTGGTTACTTTAATTTTCCGTTTTTTATGTAAAATGGTCAACATTGTTATTCATTACAGTTTATTTCAAAGACCCAAAAATTTGGGTTGATTTTCAAAGGTGAAGTTGACTTGAGTATTTTTACCCAAAAGCAATATTTTGATTTGGTTTTGCTTTCAGAGGTTCATTTGACTTTTGAATCCATTGATCACTAATATGCATGATTTTACTATTAAACTAATGGTTCTCATAATGAACATCATTTATTGTGATTACGATGTTATTATGTTTAATTATTGGAAGCACAAAGGATAACCCAAAAATTGTGTTACACTGTATTATATCCTTGACACTGCAATGTCAAGGGTAAAGTTGTCAACAAAACAATCATCAGCAATCAAGATGATTCTCAGCTTGTCTTCCTCTTTTGTATTATTTAAACTCAAGTTCAATTGGTTGTTGACTAGTGTTTTCATGATAATACTAATTGAGGGTAAAAAAGTAACACCAACAATAGAGTTAACTAATACAGCGCAAAAAAAGTGGTGAAAATGATAATTACTGTTTACCAGCAAAACTCAATTCAGGACAACACATTTTTGTCATCCCTTAACAACATCATTATCCTGATCATCAGTTGATTCAATAATTTTCTTCCTTCTTCTAAATTGTTGTGGTTTAATGGTTCTTGAAACTGTTTACTACCAATCAATAGATCAATTAATGAACAACAAATTCAATTGTAATCAAGCGCACTTTAACCATTCATCTTCAACTTGTCCATCATTGATACATTTCAATCAACTTGATTTACCAATTTGTAAGAAAAGCCAATTTACTAATTATCAAGAAAGCCAAGATTCAAATTTCATGTAAATTGTTGAAGCAACAATTTTGTTGAAGCAACAATTTAACTCGATTGGTAAATAAACTTGAATTTCAATGATTTTAACCAATTTGATTCACTTTTCAAAAGTTCAACCAATAATCAGCTCAATGTTATTTTATTGTTTTAATTCAATTGTAATTGGACAAATTGGATGATCGTAAGATGACCTAAAGATGAATTAAGATTAACCCATGTTGAGCTATTGGTAGCAATCAATGAGGAAAAGTGGCGAATCAAATTTTCCTTTTAAATATTCATTTCCAATTTACAATATTGTCTTTAATGTTCATTTTAACCTTTAATTGTTCGCCACAATATTAACAATTGTTCTGGTCAATCAAGGTGACATTAATGGTGTAAATTTGTCTATTCAGGACAAGGCTATTGGTGAGAGTTTTGCTGTTTCTGGTCAAATTACAATGTTCATCAGTAACACTTTCATTTGTCAATTAATCAACAATTAACTGAATAACCGTGAGAATTAAGATGATATTGAGTCAATTTTTCGATCAATCATATTGTTTCATTCACTACTTGGATTGACATTGATTTTTTTACTGGTTAAAAGATGTTCATGAGATGGAATGATCTTTTGCTTTTGAAGCTTCAAATCATAATTGTTATTAATTTGCCTCCAGGTAAATTAATCTTATTGGCAATTATAAACATTTTGTTCTTGTACTGTTAAACAAAAGTTAATTCAAAAGGCCAATTCTGATTATCATATTCATGGATGGATCGAACCTTGAAAAGAAAAGATGATTTTTCAATATTAATGCATTTTCCTCAAGATTTTTACTCTTTTTTTACGCTTTTTTAAGTTTCATTTTCTCGTTGGTTCTTCCAATTGGTGAGGTCAATTGGAAAGTAGCAAATTTACTTTAAATGATTGCTAAAAAATCAACAATTGTTGACCAAATGATATTAGCATTTTAAATGACCCAATGAATACAAAAAGTGTATATTTTTGTATTTTCATTTTACAGTAATTACAATTTTCGTTTTGTTCAATGACAATGAAAAATTTTGGGTTAACCTGAAAATTGAATGTTGTTACTTATTGTAAAGCATTTCTAACCATTAACCAATAACTGTTATCACTATCATTACCATTAATCATTGATTTAAATTGTCTCTCTTTTATAACAGATGATGAAGCTGGAAGATCTCATAAAATGACAACACCATTATCGTCATCGTCGTCACAATCGTCTTCATCGTCATCACCAACACCATCGACCAACATTTATAATGCTTCAACCAAAATATATATTGTTGCCATCATCGGTATTGTTCCTGCCATTCTTGGTGGATTAGTTTATTGGCTTAATTATTTTCGTAAATCGTGTTTCAAGGTAATCAAATTAAACTGATTAGACTGTTAACTGATTACAAATTGCAATTGTTTAAAGGTGTAAAATCGCATAAGATGAGATACAAAAGCAGGACATGCACAAGTTGATAAGGAAACAGTGAAAGGAAGAAAAGCTAAACTCATATTACTATAGCCTAATTATTGCTTAAACATGTTAATTGAGTTAATTTAAACTCAATAATTATGTTAACCAGTCTATTGAGATCATCTTTAACTATTATAATCAATTGAGTAAATTGTATAATTGTGTAATTAATACACAACAGTAGATACACGTTTAAACACAAGTATTACACATCCTTTATGGGGTATAAAGTGTATGATGAATTTGGGTTCTTCACAAGAAGGTTATATCACTAGATATGGTTGTTTGAACATTCACTTGACACAAATGATCCACCAATTTGTTAATTTGATCAATTTGGTTAATTATTCGACAACAATTGATACTAAATACAGTGTAATGACAAAATTAAAATCACATTTTAAGTTGGTAGCATAATTAATCTGCTTTTTCCCTCTCTTCTTAACCAGACAAAACGTAAAGCGCAGGAAAAGAGCGCAATGACGTCCAAGGGGTGGCATGGTAATTACATTCGGCCCTATCGGTATGAGGGTAAAGATGAAAGTACAATTAAATTAGGATCAGATGAAATGATGTCCATTCAAGATGAGAAGGATTTGATAACCTCTCCAATTGTCCGTAAAAAGAGGACCTATTCAATTGAATATCCAAGGCACAATCTAGAGTTATTAGACATTCTTGGTGAAGGCAATTTTGGTCAAGTCTGGAAGGCGCGAATAACCCATTTTCGTGAAATATCTTATGTTGCTGTTAAAACAAATAAACGTAATAACCATTAACTAACAATCAACAAATCAAGTGAAATCAAAGCCAAACCAAGAACCATGAACAATGGTTAAATGGTCATCTTTAGAAGCAAAAATTTAGCTCAAAACTAACATAAAATGTGCGATAAATGAAAAGTAATGGTGTTAATTCAATGCTATCAATCTGTTATTTTATCTAATTTTTTATTATGCTTTTCACTCATTGTACATGTTGATTCATGGTTTTTTTCACTCAATTGAAATGTGTTTATATTGTCCACCAATTATCAGGCAAACTCATTGAAAAAGCAACCCATAATTTTTGGCTTTCATTTTCATTTTTGATTTGTTGATTGTTATGATTGTCTTAACTGTGAACTTAGGCAAAAAAAGCTTTCACTCTTACTATGTGATACATTCACATAATAGGAGCTTAAAGTTAATAACAATAATTGTATTGAATAATGGTTGAAAATTAATAATCTTGATTCCTCTCTTTTTCATTTTCATCATCCATTAATTCATGGTTTACCACTTTGACTGACAATTACCAACTATAATACTTGGACTTATTCGGACCTTTCCACTAATTGGTTCATTTTTTTACTTGCAATATCCTTACACCATTACAGCTGATTGTGGGGACAAAGATTGGGAAGATTTACTTCAAGAGTTGGACATTATGCTTAAATTGGATAAACACCCAAATGTTGTCCGACTTTTAGCTTGTTGTACTGATAAAGGTTGGATACTTGTTATTATTACACATTATTGTGATTACAATAATTTCAAATTTATATTACAAATCATTGTCAATCACGATTTACCTTTATTTTTCTCAACCTTTTCTTCACCTTTTCTTTACCATTCATCATCATCTTCCTTACAAATCTCATCTTTACCTTTTTCCTTGGACTCAACACGAAACCTTACCATTTTAATTTATATATTTTTATATTATATTTGCTAATATATTTTTGATTTTTTATTTACAGCATAAAATTAATAGCTATTACCTTCAGGCCTTACCTTCAATTGGTTGTTGTGGATTGTCAATATTGGACAATCAAAAGTTGAACCAACTAATTTATCAAATCTGGTTAACCTGGTTGCAAAGAAGAGACTTGAGCTTTCAATTGTCCAGCAAACTTTCATTTATTAATCTCAAAATAATAATGCTAATTCAGTTTACTGTTCAGGTTTCATAGCCAATTGTAATGATAATAATGGTAACAATAACAGCTTTATGGTAATGCAAATTATCAGCATGATAAATGGCAAGATTGATGAGGATAAAGATGAGGCTTACATATGATGTTTCATTTTGCATGTTTGGACAAATAATGATGCTGATAACAATAATCATTCACCAATCAACCTTTTTTTATATCATCAGTTAATTGGATTGAGCTTCTGGATAACAGGAGAGGAGAGGGTTTAAAAACAACCAGAAATGGTCTCTTTAAAATAGACTTGACCTGATTTTATCGATGAATGCATGAAGAGACAGTAAACATGTTTAACCGTTCCAGTGACTTTAACACGTTCATCTCAACCAGTTTTAACCAAATAATTGAAATGGTTTAAAAGCATTGCCATTTTTTAGTGAAAATTGGTGAAAATAGATGACTTTATTTCCCATCATCACCATGAAATTGAACAAGCAAATGTTGAATAATTTGGATAAAAATTAAGGTTAAATGACACGCTCTTGAACATCACCAAAAGTCATCATGAGTACGCACCACGACCAACTGTAAATGTTTCAATTTACAATCTAAATTGCCATATCTAACAATTAATCTCTGAATTGTCTATTTTTAACTGCAAAATCGCCATCCATAGTCAACTGATTGTTGAGACTTTTACATTTCAAGTGAAACCAGAAAATGACTTTCAATTGATTTTTCAATTTTAATGGTTTGCTTTCGTGTTAATTTTGGTTAGCAAATATAATTTGCAATCAAGCCAATTGGTTAAACATTGTTTTTACCTTTGTTTAATTGTGTTGACCATTGAAAAGGGAAAGGATGATCATTATGATGATAGTGATCCTTGATTTTTCTTTATTTTAGTATAACATTAATCATTTAAATTGTTGCTTTTCTCTCATTTTAATTCTCATTATTAACTTAACCTCCGTCATTATTTAGCCTTAAGCTTAACTCATTCACTATTTTGATTAACAAGTTTAAATACTAACCATTATTTTCTCATTGTATTTATTTTACTCATCCTATTTCATGATAATACTTTCATTCGTCAGAACTTCACGTTTCATCCTTGACTGTTATTCATTTTTCAACCATTTCTCGTTCAGTTAATACATTAATTCATCTAATTACTTAACTGTCTTAGATTTAACTGTAAATTATCTTCAATCTCTTAACAATATTGACTCTTTGGGTTCATTTTTAGGTACATTAATGGGTAAACTCATTGAACACATTCAAGATTGACAATTGATTTGGATATTTTATTTGTTTCTCTTAACCAGACAATTTATTTAATTTTCATCAATAGTTATTAATTTGATTTCTTTTCATTTCATTTTCTAGTTCCGTATTATCTTATCATGGAGTATGTTGAACATGGTAAATTATTAAATTACATTAGACAGTATCGAAAGGACAATCGTTATTACAATGATGGATATTACAGATTTACAATTGCTGATTTAATCTTATTTTCATATCATATTGCCAAAGGAATGGAGTTTATATCAAGCTATGGAGTAATGAGGATTCATTTAATTGTCCAAATGTTTCTTATTTTCATTATTGCTGCTAATGGTCAAAGAAATCGTTTGATTTCGGTTCCACACCAGTCGTTCATTTTTTCTGTCCATTATTTGAATCAAATTGCAATCATTCCGTCGTTTATGTTTAGTTTACTTAATTGTTTGATTTATATATACATTTTTTTGTTGATGAACGGAAAAATGTATTGTTAAACGTTAGCGTAAATAGCGTTTGAAATGAGCTTTGTTTGGTGGCAAAGAAAGGCCTTTTTATCATTTAGATACATTTTTTGATATGTTTAGTTGAGTTGAGCGAAAAATGTTTCACATGTGGCAAGTTGTACAATTAGATTAAAAATGGAAACCAAATTATTTCAAGAAGCGAAATGTATACAAATTTTTCTCAATTCAAAGATAATTTGAACACAATAACTGATGGAGTTGCGAGAAGACTAATTGTACTTTTATTATAATCAGAGCAATTTTGATTCACCAGATTTTTACAACCCTCAAAACTCATCATTATCTGCAATAATGAAAATAAGGTTCACAATAGACTGATTGTGGAGTAATATTTATTATTTCTAGTCAGTTAATAACATTTTACTGATTTATACTAATTGACATTTTTGTTGCTTATTTAGATAATTCATCGAGATTTGGCTGCAAGAAATATCCTGATATCCAAAGATCGAGTTTGTAAAGTAGCTGACTTTGGGTTAGCTCGTAATGCAACCAATTATGATCGTGATGGTTATGAGCAAAAAACTCGAGGAGCAATGCCGATCCGTTGGATGGCTCCTGAATCATTGAGCTTAAATATATTTACTGCCAAATCAGATGTTTGGTCATTTGGGATACTTCTTTGGGAGATTGTTACCTTAGGATCAACACCCTATCCTGGTTTAACAGCTGGTGAAGTGGTTAAAAATGTCCGTGAAGGCTATGTTATGGAGAGACCGCCGGTTCGTTGGTGCAACTCAGAGGTTTACAACTTAATGAAGGCCTGTTGGTCCAATAATCCTTCAGAGAGGCCAAACTTTACTCAAATTAAATTAATTTTGGGTCAAATGTTGAGTTCTCGTCGTGATTATGTTGATCTAAGTGACTTTCAATCAGGTCCTTATTACAATATCATGTACAGTTCACCGGGTGAAAAGGTTTAGTCAAATCAAATCTCAACATCTTGAGTCAATTCGACAATCACTGTTAATCATTGCTAATCATTTCAATATGGATCAATTTTCGCCAAGCAACTTCGCAAATTGAACCACTTCTGTCCACCATCTTCATCATCAAATGGCCTTTACTTTATTTCATCAAATCACCAAATATCGAACTCATCATTTTCAGACAAAAAAAGACTTTATTACTTTGCTTGACCAACAATTATTATGTTAATGATAATTTGCTCTCGTATTTTTTACTTGTAAATAGTTCATCAAATCACCAAATATCGAACTCATCATTTTCAGACAAAAAAAGACTTTATTACTTTGCTTGACCAACAATTATTATTTACATGTCAGTATGGATGTAAATTTCAAGTGTCTAACTTAATCATTAATTTAATGAACTTGATTTTGAAGTAATGGCTAACGATTCAACAAAAGATGTTACATTTTTTTTGTTATCCATATATTTACATGTCAGTATGGATGTAAATTTCAAGTGTTTAACTTAATCATTAATTTAATGAACTTGATTTTGAAGTTATGGCTAACTAAACTGTATACTTGCTTCAGAATGTGAAACAATTGAAGTAACATGAAAACATTGAGATTGAGTTGGCTGAAATGGTAACTTTCTTTGTGTGAATCTGGATTGAATTAATTTTGAGCTTTAATTGCGATTAAGATAGAGAAAGGATGAGAAAAAGTCTGTGATATCAATTTTGTATCTTATAAAAGGTGATTTAATTTCAGGCAAATTACAAAAGTTGAGGTTGAATCAAGGTAATGATGAAAGTGACTTAATTGTTTTATCCATTGTTAACCTTGAATACAAGATGTACCCAGTAACATCAGTATGCAATAATAAAATAATAATTATAAAAATATATTGTTCTCAGGGAATAGTTTAAATCAGAGAGGAAAAGAGTGTTGGATGATGAAGAAGAAAAAAAGAGAAAGCTCGGAGATCGTGTTTCTATTTCAACTGAATCTCCAATATTTTAAAAGCACAAAGTGAGAACAAAAAATTCAACAAACGAAGGCCATCAACATGAGAAATGTATATTAACAGCAATTTGTTGTAAACCCAAACTCAGTCATAATCATCATTTACAATCGCTGATAATAAGGTATTTTTCAAAAATTTTTGAAACACTCACAAAGAAATATTGAACAGGATTTACCATTCACTTTTTTTGCTCAACACAATTCATATGTAATCACCAATTTCGAGTAGAACATTGAATAATGTTGAATTCCTCTGTAATTTCCAGCATCCTTTGATAACCAAACAAAAGGATTCAGGTAAATTGCAGCTGTTGACTGATGGGCAATGAGGGAGTAGAGGTAAAAATTTTTAAATGGTTAAATCAAGAGTAAGGTAAATATCATCTGGTGGTCAAGAGAATCATTGAATGTCCATTTTGTAGGCTTTATTGCGAGTGTTTACCAAGCTTAATTGTTTGATGATAATTCAATAGTTTTTCAATTCATTTGAATGAGTTCATTGTTGGCTGGCAGGTTGAAGAGTGTGTGGCAAACTTGAGATATAAACCAAGTTTACTGGCTTCTACGATTCATTAATCATTTTAATATCCAGTTAATCAATAATCTTGTCTGTAATAACTTGGCTGACTAGGCTATTACACTGTAAAAGAAGAAAAAGAAGCAATTAGTAAACTGTTATTGCTGGACATTAATCCTTATTAAGCATGATGTACGATCAAATGTTACCAGAAAAAAAAGGTTGAAAGATAGGACATGGTGTGATAAGTCTTTGGAGACATGAAAAACTGTGGACCTTTCAACAATTACCTTGAATTTTGATGTGAGTGACAGGTTGGAAAAATCTGGTCAGAAATCAAGTTTGTGATTGAGCACACAATGACAATTAACATGGGTCAGTCATTTTGGTTTTAGCTTGCCAAATCAAATACAATGCTGATAATCAGTGTTGATTCACACGCCAAGCCCAGTACTGTTTTCCACTTGAATAGCCATTATTTTGCTTAATTTTTACTTTTTTTGCTGTTCGCCCAATAACATTGAATCCGATCTGAAGAGATAACAACGTTAATAAATATATAAATTAATAATAGCAGTCAACAATCAACATCTACAAGTGTAGGTGTAGTCTTTCAAAAATAACATTAAGACAACATTAACTGAAAAGTATACCAACCAAAAAGAAATGAAATCGGGACCTATGTTGACTTATTCACCTTGAATTGGTCACAAATAATTGTCCTTGCGCTAAATAGCAACAGTTAACACGTTGTACAAAGTTAAATTATTGAGGATAAATAATTAAAACAATAAAACAATTTAAATATTGACAAGAAATTGAAAAACAAACCAAAAGACACAACTTTATTAAGTACATAAATAAATGAGTCTATCGACCCTTACAGTAATATGCTTTAAGTGCGTTTTATACTTTTTATTCATATTTCCCGGTCAAGGCTTTAATGCTTTTTATGCCCTTTCCATTATTTTATTAATGTAATAGATAAACAATTTATTTTTATCAGTGTAATAACTCCATGAATGTGGTGATAAATCAAGATCTAATTGACAATCGATCAAATCTTATAATTAGTCGTAAAATTGGACAAAGTACAATACAACCGTCAACAATTTTCTTTGTCATTTTTACCAACCATCCTTGTTAGTGTTGATTAATTATGGTATTTGCATTCATACCACCGAGACGCCCATTGTCATCATCATTCCTTCATTTCTTTATTCCTTCATTCAGTCATTACTTTATCCCTTTCATCTTCAACCTACACAGTTGATAAACATTTAATTGGAAAAAGATAAAAAGTAATCTTTTTGGCTAATAGTCAGCATCTTCAGCTGATGTAAACAACAACCAAAACCCATACCTTTCGGTTTTTGTTCACCTTGATTAGCATTGTATTCATCATAAATTAGCAAGATTATTTGTTGATTAAGGACCGCCTAATGTTAATCAACAACCATCGCCATCGCCATCATCATCATCTGCTCATCTTGTTTGGTGTCCCTTTCGTTCATTTTTGAAGGATCTTAATCAACCTGTTAATCGATGTTGACCGTGAATTCAGTGTTTTCTTCATTATTGTACATGATTTATTATTTTTTAAACAAATTTTCAACACAAAACAAAACTAAAATTTGATATAATATAGCATTACATTAATGATTAACCTTGTCTCATTTATAACAGCTACAGCAACATCAACAACTGAATATAAATAATGATGTATCAATCATTTGGATACGGGATTCAATATGCAAGATATTTCGCTTAACCGATTGACATAATATCTTGCGAGGAGCAAATTACTCAAAACAATTTCAACCTTAATGCTCAATAGGATTTTAATTGCTATTCAAGAATCTTAAAGGAATCCAGTGCCAAATAGAGTTGAGTGGAAGCTTAAAAATTGTTTAAATCCAACCTGACTAATCAACATCACTATTATACTTTGTAATAATCATTGTAATTATCTTACAACTCTCTGGTAAACAATATTATTAATTCAATGATATCATTGCCACAAATTGCCATTACCAAGCGTTAATTGGTAAACATCTTATAAGGTGACTTGGTGCTAATTAAATTACCAAGTGATCTCAATGGTTGAGTCAGATACTGTTAAATCACAATCTTGAGTTTGTTGAAAAATCAGTTTAAAATCTGATGTCTTTCAATTCCATCATTAATTATCATAAATCTGTGATGTTTAGTCACTTTCCCATTTTTATTTGTGATTATAATTTCAATTAAATGAACCTACAAATTGTTTTGATGCAAAACTTGATAAAAATGGCTGTTTTGGGTGTTAGATTTGTTTTCCTGGACATTGTTAATAAATAAAGGTAATTGAGTAATTGAAACTGATTGAATGGTGAGTAATGATAATATCATGTCGATGACAAAGATGATGACGATGGTATCGATGATAAGATGAAACAACAGGAAGGGACAAGAAGGTGATTCAATGAAAGATAAAGTGAAATGAGACAATTAGAATGAGACAATTTGGATGAGACAATTATTAATAACAACTGTTCAAGCTTTTTTGTACAATTTATTGCTTGGGAATAGCCAAGGATTTGGCGAGTCAGATCTTTCCTTAATTGCTGATGGTCCTCCTAGTTTATCATTAACCAGGGTAAAATCAAAAGGTTGTCCAGTTAAAGGTACATCATCCTTGTTATTGACATTGTTAACATCACCATTAGGGACTTTTTTATCACTTGATGAGTCCAATTTTTTCATCCAAGCATAAGTCCATTCAGGTTCATCTTGATTCCAGTCGTTAAACAGGTAAGGTGGCTGTTGGCCAGCTGGTGGTGAGGAATCAGAAGGGCTTGCAGGGCTTTGAGGGAAACTAGAAGGATATTGAGGGTATTGAGGGTACTGACGGTTAACTGGATATTGTGGTGTTTGAGGGCTTTGTGGGTATTGTGGGTATTGAGGGGATAAACTTGGGTTTACAGGAATAGGAAGGGTGGGACCAGATGAAGAAGGTTCAAATGGATTGAAACCAGTTGGGGGTTTGATTGTTCTGGGTTCTTCTTCTGTCTCAGGTCGTTCCCTTTCAGGGGAAACTGGTGGTGTTAATGAAGGATAGGTTTCAGCTGGTGGAGGTGAAGGTGGCGAGGGTGGAGAAAATGGGAATTGAGGAAAAACTGGAATTGAACCAGATGCAGTTGGGTTGTAGGTTCCTGGTGAGGGCACTTCTGATGCTGGAGACCAAGAAGGGTAATAGGTTTGAGGTGGCTGTGGTTGGGGTTGTTGTGGTGGCTGAACGGGTGAATAGTTGAAACCTTCACCATTAGAGGATCCACAGGAAACACGATACCAGTAATCACAAGTCATCAACTCTTGACTGAACAAGGTTCCTTCTGGACATGTAAAGGTATCTTTACGGCCTCCGTGACAAACATGATATGAACTGCAGCCAGAGGTTAAATCAGCATACATTCCAAATAGAGCATCTCCTGAACAATCTGCTTGCATGTTAGACGGAGATGAGCCAAGATTAAAGATGGGAAGAGAGTATGAACTGATTGAGGCACCGATACGTTGTCCAAAGGCTATTGAAGTTGATGGGGAACTTTTCAAGTTGATCTGTGATTGAAATAAATTAAATATTCAAACTTGCAATTTTACGCAAAAATCAACTATAAAATTGACTTTAATTCAGTGGAGAAAATTGCTGATAACTTATAAATAGAACAGATTAAATTATTCAGAAATTAACGAAACCGCAACAGAAATTAAGACTAATGATAAAAGAAGTTGAAAACAAAAACAAAATCACTGTTTCATTTCATTTATCAGTGAAATAAATTGAAATTGAGTCAGTTTTAAAAATCGATTGGAAGCTCATCTATTCAATATCCATTGAAAGCTAGTGAAAAATCAAATTCATTTCTTAAAATCTCTTTGTTTATGAGATTTGTTTTTGTAATTTTAAGATTTTGAGTTTTCCAAATGAACTTTAACTCAATTGATTCTTGAAACCTTCACAATTCAAACTTATTTCACTGAATATTTAGGAATCGAACTTGTTCTGGGTAAAATAAGCTGATTCTGATGAAAATTTTCTTGGTCTGTTAAAGGGGTTCCATTAGACACTTAATTGTAAAACAAAAGGAAGAGTTGTTGTTATTATTGTTTAAGAAGAAACTTACTTTTGATTGAACTTGAGTGGTTACCAGGATTGAGATGTACGATAATATAAACATTAATTTGCAGGTTAAATCCATTGTTGATTAATTATTTAACAACACTTGATTGTTGAAACTGTTGATGTTAGATGAGTTGATGATGGACACAGGGTAAAGTCTTTGTCAAGCCACTTCTCCGTTTGCTGTGTAATATCTGGTGAAAACTCAACGGTTTGAAGGCGATTTAAATACCGGAATAAACAAGAAAAGAGCAAGCGAGGGAGAAGAGAAGGATGAGAGGAAAGAGAGAGATGAAGAGACATTGGAAGAGCGAGAGTGATAGAAAGTGAGAAGAAGGTAATCAAAATATAAAAAAAAACCTGAAACTGAATTGAATTTAGGTCCTATACAAAGAAACAAATGAAAACTTGTCAGAGCAACTTGAAAATTTAGACTCTTTAAACACCTGAAATTTTACTCTTTTTTCTGAGTTCTTTGTGATTTATCTCATTTGAAACTTCCATTCACCTTAAAAATTAAAATTTGGCAACAATTAAACGTGAAACAGTTAAAAAATGGTTTAATGGTATACACAATTGAAAATTGTTGAGTTACCGAAGATTGTCTTTGAACAGCTACATTGGTTAGTTACTGTTGCTTTTTCTCTGAAAGAAAACGTTTCGCATCAATCGCGACCGACTGATTTTAAACAATGCTACTGTTTCTTTTAATTATTAATAATTATAATAATTTTAAATCTGTCATTTAACTAACCATAAAATTAACAAACTGATTAAGAGGTTGCAATCAAATTTAGCGCCATCTCTCTACACTTTCTGTCTCAACCAGAAACTTTATCTATATCCTTGTCACCTCATCTTGTTATGCTGTGTACAACATGTTGATGTGTTATTGATATGGTCGTTTCTGTCCGTTGTCATTTATAGCTATACTTTCTTTTAATTGCACATAGTATCATTTAAATGTTCTGTGAAAATATCATTCAATATATTGCTAAAACACAAGCATATTTTGTATTTAATCATCTTGAATCATCTATCTATCATCTATCCTGTTATTTACATCATATTCTTCTGGAAATTTGATTTACATCATCATCACAACTGGCTTTTTACGATAGCTCATCAAAGCCATCTTCTTCATCATGGACTATGAGGAGGGTGACAAAAAAGGTGGAGAGCCACCAGCATTTGTCCACCAAAACGTTTAATGTTGCAGTTGTTGGTCTTTCAGGATCGGAAAAAGAGAAAGGATGTAAGGGTGTTGGAAAATCATGTCTGTGCAATCGTTTTGTCCGACCATTTGCTGGTGACTATCATAAAGAACACATATCGGTTCTCAGTCAAACAGATTTTAGTGGACAAGTCGTAAACAATGATCACTGGCTTTATTGGGGAGAAGTGACAAAACTGGTCAATGAAGGAACAGAAGTAACCTTCAGTGTGATTGAGCAAACCGAATTCATTGATGATTCCTGCTTTCAACCTTTCAAGACTGGAAAAACTGAGCCGTATTATAAAAGATGTGCAGCAACTCGACTATGCTCGACCGATAAACTGATGTACATCTGTAAAAACCAACTAGGAATAGAAAAGGAATACGAACAAAAATATCTTAATGATGGACGATTTCTAGTTGACGCTTTTGTTTGTGTTTTTGATGTTAGTGAGGTACAAGGAAGAAGTTTGGACAAAGCTATCGAGTACACTGGACTAATATTGAACAATCTTATCAAAACCAAGAAACCAGTTGTTTTGGTAACAACTAAACACGATGAAGCAAATGAATTTTATTTGAGAGAGGCTGAAAAATTGGTCAATAGGAAAGAATTCCGAGGGATCGTGCCTATTATTGAAACCTCGGCTCATAATAATATTAATGTTGATAATGCATTCATTACATGCTTCCAATTATTGGATCGTAATAATGATCAACTCGTCACTGAGAAAACACAAGGGACTCAACCGCTGGAGGTTACGCAGAGGATAAAAGGTATACTTGAGGTGATGAAAAGCCCGACAAGACTTGAAGAGTGGAAATGCAGTATGGTTGAGGTTGACAGACTGTTCTTACTCATGGAATCTATGGTTAAAAGTGAAAAGACTACCAAAAAAGAAAATAATTCAATCAAACAAAATCGAAACAGTAGAAGAGCTAATTTAATTCACACACTTCAGATGGAATCCAAGCAGCTGAGAGAACTTAAATATGAAAACGAGCAATTAAGTAAAGCATTGGAGGAATATCAAGTAACTGTACAGTTTTTAATGAACAAATACAGAGAACTGACCGGACGTTTCTCTGAAACAAAGTTAATTCTACCAGACCAGTTAACACTAGATGACCATGAAGCAGCCTTAGCTCGTCAATTTGAAAAAATTAATGAAATGTCCGCTGTGATGGCGAAAGCAGTGCAACTAGATGAAAACGCGTCTGAAAAAGAGGACCAGAATCTGATTGAAAAATTACGCAAAGAAAATGATAGATTAAGGAGATTACTTTCAAGTTGAAGTCTATATTATCCGTAATTCCAATGGTCATTATTTTTTATATTATATTTAGATCTGTTTTTATCCAATTTCAATAAAATAACAAAACAATGCTACCTTGGTTATTGATTGATAATTTTTGTATCCAATTTAAATGAATAATTAAATTTTATTTCCTATTTATTGTCAAATCCAATTCACTATTAATGCAATATTTTCTTTACTACCGTTAGATGGCGGGGGGAAGTCGAGGCAGGCTTCACATAACAGTTGACTTTTCTTTGCTGTCCGTGCTTAACAGTCAAACCATTTTATTTGGATTCTTTTTTTATAATTTACTCCCTTGTCAACTAAATTGTTAATATGTGAACGGGCATTTAATAGTTTTATTATCTAAATTTCATTGTGTTCATCGATGTTTAATAGAAAATAGATTGAAAATCCATCGTATTACTTACGCTAAAAAATTTTACTCACCTTACTACCAGCTGTTCTTATTCGTTTTACTTTAATTCTAACCTGCTCCAATTGATAGTTTTGTTTGACATGATTAAAACTTGATTAAAAAGATTCACAATTCATCAGAAAAACAGAGAAGTTTCAAATATCTATATCCTTGTCACCTCATCTTGAGTTATGCTGTGTTCAACATGTTGATGTGTTATTGATATGGTCTTTCCTGTCCCTCGTCATTTATAGCTTTACATTTTCTTTTGATTGCACACAGTATTATTTAAATGTGCTGTGAAAATATCATCCATAATATTACTAAAACTCAAGCATAATCTGTATTTTATCCATCTTGAATCATCTATCCTGTTATTTACATCATATATTCTTTTGGAAATTTGATTTACATCATCATCACAACTGGCTACTTACGATAGCTCAACAACAAAGCCATCTTCTTCATCATGGACTCTGAAGAAGATGGCAAAAAAGGTGGAAAACCACCAGCATTTGTCCCCCAAAACGTTTAATGTCGCAGTTGTTGGTCTTTCAGGATCTGAAAAAGAGAAAGGATGTATGGGTGTTGGAAAATCATGTCTGTGCAATCGTTTTGTCCGACCATTTGCTGATGACTATCATACAGATCACATATCGGTTCTCAGTCAAACAGATTTTAGTGGACGAGTCGTAAACAATGACCACTGGCTTTATTGGGGAGAAGTGACAAAACTGGTCGATGAAGGAGCAGAAGTAACCTTCAGTGTGATTGAGCAAACCGAATTCATTGATGATTCCTGCTTTCAACCTTTCAAGACTGGAAAAACTGAGCCATATTATAAAAGATGTGCAGCAACTCGATTATGCTCGGCTGAAAAATTGATGTACATCTGTAAAAATCAACTAGGAATAGAAAAGGAATACGAACAAAAATATCTTAATGATGGACGATTTCTAGTTGACGCTTTTGTTTGTGTTTTTGATGTTAGTGAGGTACAAGGAAGAAGTTTGGACAAAGCTATCGAGTATACTGGACTAATATTGAACAATCTCATCAAAACCAAGAAACCAGTTGTTTTGGTAACAACTAAACACGATGAAGCAAATGAATTTTATTTGAGAGAGGCTGAAAAGTTGGTCAATAGGAAAGAATTCCGAGGGATCGTGCCTATTGTTGAAACCTCGGCTCATGATAATGTTAATGTTGATAATGCATTCATTACTTGCCTCCAATTATTGGATCGTAATAGACGTGGTGGACTAAAGATTGTGCCCTACTATGACGCTCTTAGAGAACGTAAAGCAATTCTTGATATTGCCCATGATGCTTATCAATCACTCATTCGAAACCAAATAACAGATTATAGAGCTTTATGGAACCCAGCATTTAAAAAATTATCTCAATCTTCGGAATTTCTTCATTATTGTGATTTGTTCGGACAAGAAAATGCTCATAAATCCTTTAAAAGGCATGTTAAAAAACTCAAAGATGATTATCTCTCAAGAAAAATGCAAACCTACCTTCGTCTTCTTCCAGTGGTGCTTGGTGAAATGTTACCTGATATTGATAGTATGGGAGAAAACTGTGATTGGAACTCTGCTAAAATTAAATTACGAACTCATCCAGACTTTGACCGTTATTTTATCAATAATCTTGATCAACCTTGGCATGAATTGGATGTTGAAAGTACAGAATCAAGAATACCCTTTGACCTGTTGAATACTCATGAAGCTGAAATATGTTTCAGAGAACATAGAGCATCTCTTGAATCAGAAGATCGACGAAAAGAATTGAAACACCAGTTTTCACAATTACTCGCTGAAACTGGTTATGTTACTCCTGGTAAATCATTCAATGAAGTACGAATACTTTTCATGGGTCGTGAGTGTTACGAATCTCTCAGCGAACAAGATCTCTACGAAATATACTCTGAACATCAGCGCAGTTTAACAGAACGTGCCAAACTTGCCTTTCAAGAACTTCTTTTAGAAAATTCCGAACTTTTTTATCATTTTGCTGCTATCAGCCCTGGTAATGCAATTACACAAAACGACATTTTCAAAATAAACGAAGCAATAAAAGAAGATATCAGGTAATGAATATTTTTTTTTATTATAGTAATGATCAAATTAACAAAAACAAAAAATGTTTGTATTGCAACACGAACACTACTTTCTTACCTTCAAGCCTTTAAATCAAAATATCATATTGTCTTACAATTTAATCATGCATTAAGCAAATTATCTTATTACTATAAATTAATATGCTCATCTCTTTTTTTCTTCTTATATCCTCATCTTCCAGATACAAAGCTCTTGATAGGTTAGAACAAGAGAGAACACTCATGTTACTTCGTCATCTTGGTTTCATTCATGGCCCTATTCGGGAACATTGTCCAACTTATCCTGATTGCATGGATGTATTGATAGAAAAATTTGTTGCCACTCAACCAAGGTAACCTAAAAAGAATGAATTATTTATCATGAAATATGCATACAATCAGCAGAAAATATAATCTTTTTGAAACATCATTATTTGGACATGGTTGTCATACTTTTAATCTTTTCTCTATTCCCAGTCGACCCCCGCCGTTCCTCAGATACTCTCAATGGATCCCAAACTCTGACAATACTAATCTTAAAATTGTCATCCTTGGATCTGGTGGTTTAGCAGAAGACTTATCATCAGCCATCAAGGTAATCGAGAATTGAATTTTTTCTTCAAAAAAACAAGCATTTCAAAAGTTCAGAAACCAAAAAGGATGACATGTCTTACATAATGTTAAACTCTTTTTTTTCATTTTTCTACAGAAAATAAACGAATCTTTTGAATATGAGAAAATCCGTTATACATTAGATTTCAGAATCATTGATGGGGATGTTGATCTGCCTGAATACTCTTTCCAAGCCAATGATTTTGTGCCACAAGGATTGTTCTGTGTCTACTCTAATCATCAGACGCTTGAATATATACGCGATTCAATGGAGAAAACATTACTCTCTAATTTAGAAGCAGATGATCGGTTACCATTCCATGGTTTACCGATGGTAATCTTGTTTGCTGCAGACTCAAATATTAATGAAAAAGATATCATATTTCTTCGTGAAGAGGGACAAAATCGTGCCAAGAGCTTACAGTGTCCATTTATTGATATAACTCATCTAATGTCCAGTTCTTCGCAATCCCTTGAAGAGGTTGATGATGATGAGGAGACAATGTTTGATAAGAATAGCGTAAGGAGTGCCTTGTCTGCTCTTATTGAAAGTATTCAACGTCGAGTTGGATTAATACAAATTTACCAATCATTGCCTGAGCAATCAATGATTACACCTGATCTTCGTATTCTCATGTGTCTATTTTGCGGAGATCCCTATTCAATAGAGAAGGCTGTGAATCCCTTTTTGAGTCATAATTTGTGTTTTGTTACTTCAATTAACTCACTTATTACTGATGTTACCTTCAATGATGGTAACAAACTGGTTGAATTTATTCTCACCTCCTACCATGGTGCTGGTGCTTATCGTGATGAACTTCTCCATGGTTTCATTTTAATCTATTCAACCCACAGAAAATCATCTTTAAATACTTTAAGCGCTTTTTCCAACAACATTCCAAATACACCGACACAAATTGTAGCCGTTATCGATAATGATAATCCAACATCAGCATCACTTGCTGCCTCATCAACACCCGCTGAAGTTTATTATTCCAATACTGATCTCTCAACTCAACTAATTGAAGAAGGAAATACTCTGGCTGAAAAATTGGCTGTTCATTTTATTACATTAACATCTCCCTCTGCTGTACCCAAAGCATCCGATTTCATACCCTTTTTTATGGAAGCATGGGACCGTAAACCACAAATTGAAAAAGCTTTTGAGCTTGATGAGACAGATTTTTTCATGGAACAACGATCACCACCTCCACCTCCAATACCACCTCCGATACCATCGCGTCAAGAGTCTTATAATATACCTAAAGGATCGCTTTCTACTTTGGCCAGTCTCACCACTTCAAATAATACTGCTACCAATACGACAAATACTTCATCGACCAACAATGAACCATTAGATTATGGACAAGACTCGGAAGGTATTTACGAACAACTACAATCAGATCGAAAATCAATTGAAAATGATAATGCACCTATAAACACTTACGGAGTTCGAGTGGCCAGTGATGATAGTGAAATCTATTCAACAGTTTTCAATCAAGATAATGACCATGAATTGGTAAAACCATCTCAGATCAAGAATAAAAATTTACAATCCGGTAATTAGAATTTAAATTTGTTCTATTAACGCGAGAGACAATGGCATCACTTTACAATAATTTGTTTCTCATCAATTTTAAGGTTTACACAAATTGACACACATATTGTTCCAAAATGATAAGATTTTCATTTCAAATACGATTAGTCAGAACAAAGTCAACTTCTAACATCATCTTCAAATTATTGTTGATAAAGATGATGTTTCTAATACCAATACATGCCTATTTATGTTTATGTCAAGTGTTTGTTGTGATATTACTCCAGTGATGCATTTTGTTTCTCTCTCTCTCTTTTTTCATCCATCTCACTCCAACTCACTCAGATAATCGTCTTCTTTTAGTTTTCACGTTTAATATTGATAACTTGCATCTTTACATGTTTTCATGCTTCCTTCACATCAAATTTTCCATCACTTTTTGACTAATAATTTTCTCTTTTCTTTTCTTTTCTTTTCATTGGAATCTTTGGCCGGCAATAATTTAAATTATTCATTCATCTGGTTATAGCTTCCCCACCACCTTCATACATAAGTAACTTCAGCTCATCTCGAGCACCACTCTATCAACAACATCAACGGACAATGTACCATTCAGGAGCTAATATATCCTCTAATGAAGGTGCCAGTCCATCATCTTTATTTGCCACAGGACGTCGACAATCAGCTGGTCTACCCAATGAACGATCAACCTTCTTAATGCATCAATATCATCTTAAAAAGTCCAATAGTCTAAAAACTGGAAATCTCCTTCAACCTAATGATAATAGATCCAGATTACATGATGAGATTGAAGTATCCGATGAGATTACTGATGATGATGATGATACTGTTTCATCTGGACTCAGTGGTGAGTATTATTCATTCAACACCACATTTGATATTCAATCCTTTACCATTTACCATGCAAGCTATCAGATGAATTGTTTTTTATAGCTTTGACAGTAAACAATATCTTCATCTTGCTATAGTAAGAGTACTTTATCTTTACAGATAATTATAATCCGTAATAGTAATAACAATTGATCGATTGCAAACTGATCTTGATTGATCACTTTGCAGTCTCTTTTCATTATTTGTTCAGCTTTGTTATTATTTAGATAGCGAGTAAACTAAACTTTAAATTTCATTTTCATGGTCAAAATCAAAGTCAATATAATATTGCATTTTATCGATTTAAAGCTTCTGTAGGGAATCATTCAATCTTTCATCATTCAGTCTTTACCCATTTTTACTTGAATTACCTGCAATTAGAGCACAATTATGCAAAAATAGTCTCATGTTTTTTACAAGTAATTAATGTTTTAAATAGTGCGCTTGCAGCATTTATTCAAATATTTATTAATTGTTATGTAACTTTAAGGAAGTTCGCCAAAAATTTCATGTAAATTTTATCTCATTTCAGTCTACTGATGACTTAATTTAGTGTCAACGTACCTAAAATTATCATTTTTGTTTCCTGCCTTTTGGGTAAATTGATGACAATATTGTCTAGATATTTTGAGGTGCCTCAGTTTTCAAATTATTTTCATATTCTTTGTCACTATTTTCATTGTTTTTAATATTTCCTTAATGCTGAGTAATCAAAAGTAGCATTGATGCCACTAAATAGTATCAACAATGACGCAGATGCATCCCTTAATCACCATATGAATTAACTATTACTTGACTATGCAAACAACTTAGAATATCAACTGGATTAGCCGCTAATACGCGCCAAAATGGCATCTTTCGATGCAATTTTGACACTCCATATTTAGTAGATTAAATTTTATTTACATTTATCCCGAAGCAACTGTTGCCGTCAAATTGTGTCCAATAAAAAATAATGCACATCAAGCAAATTATGAAAAAATTGAATAAAAATTTATTGATATATTTTATAGTAACTTCAATATTACTGTGGTTTGAATACTGGATGTGACTTCATTCCTATCTAATTAAATTGATGTTTCGTTCTTGGTTGCACTAGTGTTTTCTGGTTGTACCAGTGTAGTGACTTCAGGTTCAGTGCTATTTAGGCCATTGTTGGTTGCAATTGTATCAAGTTCAACATTTTCATTTACTGAATCAATTTCTCCTGTAAGTGATGAATCAGTGACTGTAGAAGCATCGTTGTTGGTTATGCTTGTGGTTAGATCCTGGGTTACATTAGTTTCACTGGTCGTATTATTAGCTTCAGAATTTCCTTGAGTTTCAGTTGCATTCGCTTTCATTTCACTGGTTGAATCTTGAGTAGATGCTGTTTCATTTGTAACACTATTTGTGGTGTTACTAACATCAGGTCGAGTTACAGTTGAACTTGAACTTGTTTCACTCAATGTGCTATTGATGCTTGAGGTCGAATCGGTTACATTTCCTGCCAATCCTGTGCCATCATTTTTAATTCCAGTCTCATTATTGGGTGTAATTGAATCTGAAGTTATATTCGCAGGCTTTAGGTTATTAACTGTCGAGTTAGTATCAGCAATTGATTCTGTTGCATTGGACGATCCGACAGTCTTATTATCTGTCAAGTTAGAGCCATTGTCGGTCACAATTTCACTTATCACAGTTGTATTGAGTATATTTGCTTTCGGGCTTTCAGTGGATGCATTTGGATTGCTTAGACTGTCAACTGTTGTCAAATTTTCATCAGTTAATTTTTGAGTTGTATTATTGCTTTCAATGATTGTCTTACTCGAGCTATTGGTCAAGCTTTCTGTGGCAGCAACTGTTGTTGATTCTGAAGCTTTGTCTGTAGTATTTTCATTAACAGTGATTCCGTTTGTTCCATCGCTTACCACTTCTGTTACATCAAGAGGTGCAACTGAACTAGACGCAATCTCGCTCGTGGTTACACTTGTATCAGTACTTGTTACATTTTGATCTTTTACGCTCAGCTCACTTGTCGGTGCGTCTGAGGTTATTGTGGCTGCAGTTGAGTTGACACTATCGGTTGTTTGAGTGGTTGTGCTCGAGTTGGCTTGATTAATTACCGCATCAATTAATTTTGAAATAAAAATTGATTGTTTGCTCGATGTTGAATTTGTATCATCAGGCTTAAATGATGGTATAAAAGATGGCATTGGTGGAGCGGAAAACCGAGATGCATTTGTCCCTGTAGTTGTAATAATCGTTGTTTGAGGCTCTGAACTTGTTTCATTCGATGTTGTGTTCGTTGTTGCTTCTGTCGAAGTTTCCTCAGGACATGGACAGTCTGCCGTTACACACGGATCAGTCTTAAACATGCACTCGAAGAAACACTTAATACGACATCCAGTAGACGAAGCATCTGTTCAATTAAGATTAGAGGTTAAATTATTTTACAATAAGTAAATGCAAACTCAATAAATTGATCAAATTTATTTTACTCACCAATTAAATTGACAGCGACAATCAAACATACAATTATTTGGAAAGTTTTCATTTCACCAATTTTTTAATAAATATCTTTGCAGGACAACTTTGGGTTAAATCACAGATTTTGTTTTTAGTCAAACTTGATTAGACTACCTTGGAATGACTGTATTTATGGAATTAATTATCAGTTGAAAAATTTATACTCAAAGGTTTCCAATGTTAATAGAGTAATTGAAATTAAGTAAATGAGTAAATTAAACAGCAAGTCAGCGTTACTTATATTTGCAGTTGATTGTTTTACACTCTTCTCTAAAATATTTCCTTAGCACCTAAAAAATATGGTTCATGATAAAAAAGCGTCATGATCTTCATTACGATTATCATGATTATTATCAATGTTGAGATTGTTTTCTTCCGAGAAATATTGACAACAATTGAATCAATGTATTACTTTAATAAGTTCATTATGCTTTTCTGCAATCGCCAGCTAAATTGCTAGTCTTGTATCCGTATTATTTTATTACATCTTGATAATAAACCTTCTTTTTGGTAATTATTTGCTTCTTTACCTTTATTACCTTATCTAAAGACGATTTTATCAAACAATTATAATCAAGTTTCCCCAAAAAATTTCATACAAAACATGAAATCCAATTATTTTGCTCAAATATCACTATTAATAGCTTTTATATTGACAACTTATGTCAATAACATTTTCAAATTTTTAGGCAATTTCGTCTTCATCAAAAGTTGAAACAATTTACAAATTATATTGGTTAAAATTAAACTTCAATCGCATTGTAACTTATATAATTTAGGAATCAAACCCAATCAAATGATTTCAGGATCAACGTGACCATTTCAATTCATTGTCTCAGTCATTATAATCAAGCTTCGTTTGTTAAATAGTTTGAAATCAACAAATTAATTTAACTTTAGCTTTCATTTACTATCAACTTTTACTTTTATGCGAGTGAAGTTCCTAGTCTCATCAGTAAAAATTGATTAGCAATTCGAATGCTTATTCATTTCTTGATTGCTTAAAATTTTGACGATTCTATTGATGATTCAGCTTCAATCTTCACTTTACTTTGTATTGTTAATGATGTTTCATTCAACACTTAATTTGTTTTAGTTATGTTTATATTTATATCATAATCTTAAGCATTGATGGTTATTCATGGTTTCAAGATGAACTCAATTTTTGTCGAGTTAATTGTCCATTTAAATATGCTTACAGAATTAATTTGAACTGCTTCTTTGGTTTATGTAATTTTAAAATACTTTTCACTTATTACCGATTGTTAAATTGTTGTAATCTAATTTTTGCAAATAGAATCAGTCTAGAATTAACTAATTGCTTCTAAAAATGGTGACCAAGGTTAATTTATTATTTCAATTTTTAACGTTTCTCTCATTTCAATTGATTCACAGAAATCTTTGGAGTAATAATAATTGGATATAAATTATTACAGCCTTAGTTTTTGTTTATTTTATGACAAATCACGGTTTTATCAAATCATATCTGATGATGATATGGTTATGCGTTGAAATATTATCAAATTGCACTTAGCCATTTATACCTTACGAGATAGCTTCACTGAATTCAGATAATTGATTGTTGATCATTGTTTTGTCAACTTTTATTCATCTTGCATCTTTACCGTGAAAAAAATGTTATCAAAAAAATCGCTATGACAATGTTCATGTTCATATCGTTGCTAAATTGTGTCAATTTATCTTTATCTCAATTGTGATTGCATCTTAAGTGTATTGATTCCTAAATGAATGTTCAACACCAAATTATTATCCAATTATACATTTGTAACAACTCTGATTTAGGTGATTATTTTCAATGAACATTTCTGTTGGAAAAATCTGTAAATTCAATTCAATTTCTAACGATTAACGATTAGTTCACTGATCAACTGTAGCTAATATCTTGCAAAAGTATTGCAAATGAACGTCTTTATATTTGATACATAAGAAAGAAAGAAATCCAAGTATCCAAGAAATTTTAGCTAACAAATGCTGATTCATAAAATTAATTCATTGATGATAAATACTGTTCTTGAGTTTCAAATCAACCGATTTAGCATTAAACAATTCAAACCTGATAATTAAGTAGAAACTTATTCCTTTTAACCTTTTAATGATTTATTTTTCATTTTTATCCTTAGGTTATGGAGCTTATCCACCTCCACCCGAACCAGCCCCACCTGATCTTCCTCCTCCAAATAGATTGAGGAAAGCTCCTTCACTCCCTGTTTCAGGTCACATTTTAGGCCAAAAAAGTTTTGATGATGGTATGACTTTATATTTTTCAATCAATTATTCAGCAATCGAGATCATTCTTTTAACACATCTAATTTTTTAGCAGGCTGGATGGAAGCTTATGATCGTAGTCAACTTGGAGATGAATATTTAGACAATGAAGCAGCCTCACAGGGCTACTTATATGACCCTCTCAAAGGCCCTCCGCCTTTAAAGCCAAAGCCTCTCAAATCTAAGGTAAATACTTGAACATGATTCTTGAACAGAAATTTCTGATTCCATTACTAATGCTTCTTAATTTATTCTCCTTCTAGCCTGGTAAAATCAATTTAAAACAATTCGATAATATTACGGATGCCGTTGGTCGTATGAATTTATCATCTGTTTCTGATAAACGAATGTTGGTCAAAAATCGTGGTCAATCTGCACCTTCAGAATCACTCGATCTTTCACTGGAATACTCTAAAGCCAAAGTAATAACAACCTTTTTCGCCTGTACATCTATTTCATTTCTAACTGTCAATTATCTACTCATACTTATTCAGGATGTTTATCAGGATCGCCATGTTTATCCTTATGGAGTTTTCCCAGGATCCGATGGAAAACCTCACAAAATTCGTTCCCTTGCTAGACGAGCAAAAGACTCTTCTTTCGAAAAAGGTAAACAAAATTTTCAATGTTCTTTTAATGTTCAAATAATGTTCTAACATGCTGTTATTCAACTCTTCAAATGTCCTTTTTCTCGTCTTATCTTGCTTTTTCTTCCATCATGCTACACCACTGTCATCATTTCCATGTCATCTTATTGAATCTTATCATTATTCTTCCGATTCATTTCATTACTTTAAACATTCAATATACAACATTATTCATCCGAATCATTGAATCACAAAACCATTGTAAAAACGCTTCGCTTAACCAAACATTAACGCTTCTTAACGCTAATCTAACGATGAAAAACCAAAAACATGATAAACTTATCAGGCTCTGATTCTGATAGTGATTGGAGTTCACTTGAACGTCTCCAGCGAGATCCTTATAATCGTTCAAGTCGCAAAACCAGTTCTCATAAAAAAATGCGTAAAAAGCGAGGAATACCCGTGGCACCTCCGCGATTACCCTCTTTCGAGGGGCCAAATAATCTTCCATCAGGTGGCCAACACAGCAACAGTACTACCAACATTGCTGCAGCCATACAAGGCACTGTTGCTACTCCTCCTCGGCTATTAGGTCCCACCTCTCTTGATGTTTATGATCCAGGTACGAGGATCCATTATACACATTTAAATTAACAATTAACATTAACCTTTAACTAGGCCTAATCAAAACTATCTATTTTGTTGCTCTTTTTCATTTCTCTTCATCATTTCCCTCCTTTAACCTCCATTTTATTGCTTTGCCATTTCCCTTTATTTCCCTTTTACATTCATTTTGTGATTTCATTTTTAAATGGGATTTACTTTCAATTTCATATTGAACCTTTAATTATGACTTTAAATGTGATGAGACAGCTCGAGTTGCTAGTTTCAATAGTCCACCGATAACTGACAATTCAGGTGAAGATGAAATGTCTCTTGAATCTCATTTATTGAACAGTAGCCTTTTAAAGTCTTTTGGTAACGATGAAATTAGTTTGGATAACATTATTAGTAACAATCCACTTGTTGCGAGCACTTCAAACATCATTTCAACCAGAGATGATTATGTTAGCGAAATGGGCAGAAATAAGAATAAGCGATCTTTCCATTTATCTCGTCGTCGTGCCAAACCTGTTCAATCTCATTCCATTCCTGAAACTTATACAGGTTCACCTCAATCTCCACCAGAAAATCTTAGTTACAATCAATCATATTCGTTTATACGATCATCTGATGCAATTTTCACTTTTGGTGCTCATCTACCATACTCTTCGTCTTCATGTAAGTGGTGAAATGATGATGATCTTTCATAGTTGATAATGTAGCTTGTTTTTTGCACACAAAACTGTAAATGAATCTTGGTAATAATACACTTACAGTCCATGAAAAACTCCCAAATCATTTACACCAACCTTACTCCACACTTATCAAGATAACATATCAATTCCTGAAATTTATATTTTGCAATTTACTCATTGAACCTGCATCTGTAATACAATCATCACAATATTTATGTAATGAGTAGTTATTAGCTTTTCAAGATCGCTTCACCATTTCAAGTTACCCTGTAGCTGTGTGTGTTATCCCATTCATTAATTAATCATAAACTTGATTGATTGCTTTGAACACTTACAGAGAACTATACTTTAGTTAATTATTAATTAATTATGTTTTGTCTTGTATTTCATTGTTTTCATGTTTTCATTTCTTTCCATTAAAGGGTGATCCAAAAGTAGAGACACATTCATAGACTTTCAGCAAATTTTTCAGTCAATCTATTGATTAATTTTTTTGCAAAATTTCTTCAATTTGATTAATTTTTTCCATGTTAACACAGTTTTAGGTCTTCCTGAAAGCACTGAATAACTAATTGAATCTGAAACTGTAAATCTAAAAGTCATTTTTAAACCTGTATAGTGACCATGTTTTTTCAAACACAATTTCAGTTTTAAGGCAAAGTTATATTTATATTTCTTAAGCCGTTTATGCCTTTAAACTTTTCAGATTGTAATCTGTTTAAAACTTCTGTGTCCCTCTTTTTGGTCACCTTTTACACTGTCTTTTGGTCAACCTTTACTTTGTTATGTTTATTTACATTTATGTATTTTCCTTTAGTTTTTTTCACTCTCTTACAGCCGACAAATGATTTTTATTTGTGCGTTATCTTGTTATCTCATTACTAATGTTTCTTTTCCTAATTGCAGCCAAATTGAAAATAGACCCATTGGCTTGTCTCCATGCTCAACCTGAAGAAGATTTTGATTTATCCTCCAACGATGCGGCCATTAAACAACTTGGAATGGTTTTAAAGAGTAAATCAGCCTCCGTTGTGAATGACATTGAAAGGCTAAATAAGGAAAGACGAGAAAAAGAAAAGAAAAAGTTAAGAGAAGAAGAAAAGAATGAAAAGCGCCGTTTAAAGGAAGAAGAAAGACAACGTCGAAATGCGGAGAAGAAGAAAAAGAAACAGGTCAAGTCCAATTCGAGTAGTTCTGGGCCAGTTTTAGAGGAATTTGCTCAATCTGAAACAAATGCAATCCCTTTGTTTGTAGAAAAATGTATTTATTTCATCGAAGAGGAAGGCCTTGATTCAGAAGGAATTTATCGAGTTCCTGGCAACAGAGCTCATGTTGACTTATTATTTCATAAATTTGACGAAGGTAAGCAATAACTTTGTAAAAAAAATGTTTAATTTACCATCAATTAACTAATTTTCCATCTTCTACTTCAATAATTTTAGATCCCAATGTGTCCATCAAAGAACTGGATATTCCAGTTAATGCCGTTGCCACTGCATTGAAGGATTTCTTTTCAAAACGTCTTCCCCAGTTGATTCCAAGTTATTTAATGGATGAACTTACCGATGTTGTCTCTCGAATACCTGATAGAAAAGAAAGGCTTATCGCCTTGCAAGAGCTTATTCGTAAATTACCTTTAGCGAACTTTGAGATTCTCAAATTTGTGTTTCGTCATTTTGTCAAGTATGTTATTTTCAAGTTATTAATGTCAACCAGATTCTAACATTTATTTTCTTGTTTCTTTCAGAGTGACTGAAAATAGTCGATTAAATAGTATGGATAGTAAAAATTTGGCAATTTGTTGGTGGCCCACATTATTGCCCTTTGAATTCAATGATATGCTGATGTTTGAAAGGATGAGACCACATTTGGAGGAATCGGTGCAAACAATGATTGATCAGTTTGAATATATTTTCTGTAATGAAGAGGAACGCGTTCTTATTATTTGAACCATTTAAAGAGCGACACTAAAGCATTTATAATAATCTAAATTCAAGAGACAAGAGAGATTAAGGAAAAAAAAGGAAAAGATGAAAAGTCAAAGGAATCAAAGGAATCACAAGGAACAATTGAATTTTTTTATAAAAGAGCATTTAAAGATAGTCCTAATTCATTGAACTCCTTAGAATACATTTACTTGGAAATGAAATCCTCAATGACGATGAACAAATTTTAGTTAGATAATTATTTGAATCTCAACCTTTTATTGCATTTCATTTTTTTCTTTTCCTCTCTTTTCCTGTAAGCATTTTTTTGGTATGCATTTAATTTGGAACCTTAAATTGCTTCAAATCTTGATATTAACAGTTGCATAATTAAGAAAGAGGAGAGAAATTTAACTCTCGTTATTGATCACTAGTCATCATTTAATTATGATGTGGAAGAGTTAACTTGATCTGAGTCTTTTACATCAAACACCAATTGGAAGCAATCAAAAAAAATCTAAAATTATAAATATATATTCACCAAATTGTCATTACCAAAAAAATCAAATTGATCCCAAGGCCCTGAATAAATTTAAAACAATTATAAAGACAATTTACTGATAATACAAATAAGTTTAAACACACACCTTGATAAACAACTGAAAAGATCTCATTAATTTCTTATAACTACTACTCATTAATTACTTCATCTATTCAACTGGATTGATTTGGTATGGGAGTCAATTTTATATGAAGCCAAAAAAACAAGATAGATTAATTAATTAATCAACTAACAATTGAAGCTGTAATGAAACTACAAAGCCTAATTGAGAAGCAAAGATGGATTCAAATGTGACCCAATGTAGTCAACAAGCCTCGAGGAAACAATTGAAGTTGATGAATATTTTAAAGTACTTTACGAATGATGGAATCACAACCAATGGATCAAACTGTAAAATTGGATAATATCAAGCAATGGAAATCATGGAAACAATTTAAAGATTGATTAATTAATTTGGTTATGGATTGGACGGTGGGACATGAAATGAAATGTAACTTGAAATTGTCGAATCAAGATTGCTTTATGGAACTACTTTTGATAACTGAAGATTCATTGTTTTTGTAACTGTCTCATCGTCCCATTTTGACCATAATTATCATCTCTGGTAATGTCGAGTTTGCCATTATTTTAATTGTCGACAGTCGATTTTTGTCCCCAATGTTACAATTACAATTGAATAATGGAAATTGGATGGAAATAGGAAAAGAAACGTTATCGAGTTACTTTGGAACATTTGAAAGTCTTCAGCATTGACAATTTTGGCTTATTGATAGTGAACAACACTTCAATGATGATTAAAATTAACAATAACGCTAATTATTATAATGTTAATTATAATTAATTTTAATTATTACAAGTATCTCTTATAAATTGTAATAGATTCTTTTTTGCTTTTCAAACAAAAACAAATTCTCTCTGTAACTCTATTATTTTACACTTTTCCTCTGATTCTTCTGTAAATTGATAATTACTAATCTAAAACTCATTCTTACATGTAACTCATTGATTGTAATCACAATTTCACAATCGGTTTAAAGATGATTTCACCTATTAACGGTGTCAAATGAACCTAAAAGTCTTTAACAAGTATCTTAATTATATTAAGTTGTTAGACAAAAGAATCGTATTCTCATTTTATTTTTAGATTGACAAAATTTCGGTTTACGTCAAAATTTCAAGCTAACACTGTAAATTCAAAGTCCTTTGGCTATCATAACTGGTGACAGTTATATTGAGTAACATACCATTAGTAAATTTTTACATAACTAATATAATATGGTGTTAGATTGTTGTTTTATAAATGTCATCCGTATTGTTATCCAGTCTATTTGACTAGCAAACAATAACAGTGACCTTTAGCTTAATAGGAAAAAACAAGTATAAATGGGTCAATTTTTCAATAAAAAAGCAATATTTGATGTAATTGTAGCATTATTACTTGAATAAGTTGTAAATGTTGTTTACATGCACTGACCACCGTAAGGATAGGTTTGATAATATTAGCTGAAGTGAAATTGGAGCAACTCTAAAGAGATTGAAGAATGGAAAGATTTTGGATGGAATTGCGAATTGAATGAAAAGAAAAGGAAAATTGATGGACAAAAAGACAGGAATGGTTAACATGATTGGATTTGAAAGGGGAAAAAGAGTGGTCAGTTAAAGATGTCGATGACAATAGTTTAGGTTGAATAGTGAGTTATTTGAAAAAAAACATTGACAAACGGATAAAGATAATAAAGTTAATGTGATAGAAATAAATGTGAAAAAAATGATATTAGACTGGACCATAATGATGAAAATGAGTGAATGTGCATGGCAAGAAGACAAGATTGTCTAGAGCAAGTCAGGTAAGCGAAAAGTTAACTGTATGAAAAGGAAGAACAGGGAGACCTCTGAGAAGGGATTCCAAGTGAGAATTATTGATAGCTGATCATGGAGTGGGTTTGAGGGTGAAAGCAATGATGATGATGATGTTGAAGAAAGGAAGAGTTTGAGGTGGATCGAAAAATCGATTCAAACTATAAATTTGTAAAAACGTCACACGAGGGATCCTTTTATCGTCATCAACATTTGGTTCATCATTATAGCAGTTTTTTTTCATTGCTCTTCATCTTCTCTTCTTTTCATCCATTCTTGATTTTCTCCTTCTTTTTCCCTTTCCTTTAGCTCTTGTAAGACTCTTATAACATCTCTTTCTGTGGCGTCCTTTTTCCTCTGAGTCTGACGGTTACTCAAGCTTTTCCAAGCTTTCTGCCTTTCTATTTTTCCTCCTCTCGAATCTCCCTCGGTGAGTTTATATCTTTCTTTTCACTCTTTTTTTCATCATCCTCCATGTATTCGCCATTATCCAAGGAGAAAGAGTGAATACACAAATAAGTTGACAGGAGGCAAAAAAGTTGATCATGGTTATCCAAAATAGAGAGAATTCTTCTAACTTTAACTCTTTGTTTGGTTGAATGTCTTCAATGTGTATATAAACATTTTATATTCAATTTTTTGGATACTTTTTGGATTCCTCTATACTGTTGTTGCATATTGTTTCCTTGAATAACACACCAAACAATATTTTTACTCTTGCGTGTTTTCTGGTCAGTAGTAATTTGGATCCATAACTTGATTGTGTGTGAATAGAGAGTTTCTTTTCGGTGTAGTTTCCATTAACCTCCACGGAACCGGTTCAAATAGTGGATTTAAATGTGATCAATGGTGATTGAAAGATGAGATTTGAACCCTCATCATTGGACACTATTAAGCAAACCAGAGCCATTGAAAACGGTAAATTTACAATATTTTTTTTAACATTAACCTTGATCATCAAACTTGATTCCTTGTTTCATCGTTTTTCTTTGACATTTTCATCTCCTCTTTCATTGGCATCTCATGCTATCAATTGACATTGATTGAAGGTATGATAATTGTTCTTGATACTTCACTTGTTTCAGGATAGGATGAACTTTATTTCAACACAATTGACTGTATTTACTTCTCATGTTTCAATAATTCATCATTTTCTTTCAAAAAAATTAATATTTCATTAGAGTTGGCTTCCATTCCTCAGGAACACTCACTGCTCAATTGATTTTCTTACTCCTACTCGTTTCCTTTACTTTATTTCCTTTATATGGTTTTCCCAATGGATAGACATCTCATTCGATCCATCCACCATAACCAAGTAATTAAGCGCTTAAGTTTTCAATTTAGTTAACTCGAAAGAATCTCAACTGAGTTAATGAAGTTTATCCTAAAATAGGTGATAACTTCAAGTTTGATGGTGTGATTTTACTGCGATAATTGGCTTAGCTTTTCCAGAATTTATTTAATAACCTGGAAAAAGAAGAGAAATCTATAGGTTAGATAAATCAATGAAACCAATCAATTCCTGTTTAATGAATATTTACATGTTACAATTGTCTTCCAAAAACAATTATGAACCTTGCATCCTGAAAGCTTCCTAATGATCCTGTCCATTGATCCTATCCATTGAAATAGCTTTTGAACCGACCGACATTTCAATATATTTCAAATTATCCAATGAAAACAAATGTTATATAACTTCGAATGTTTGGGTTACCATGTAACAAGATTAATTGACCACTGTCATCACCATCAATTGGCATAACAATTACATAAATATGATCCTAAATAAAAGAAAAGACGAAAGAGTTCAGATTCAATCAAGAAAAAACTGAAACGCACAAGCTTGCTAGCTTCTGGCTATATTTAATTCAAATCAATCAAATAGTAATCAATCCCTTACCTCACCAAAATTAGTATTTATAAATATAAAATATCCTGGCTTGAATTGTTCACAGTTTGATTATCAGATAAACACAGTTGGAGAAGAAAAATTAAGAAACGAGTAAAATGATAAAGGGTGACAACAATAAATGGGTTCGAGAGCTGAAAGCTTAATGAAAGCTATTGGTTATAGATAAACGAATAAAAAGAAAAGAATAAATGGTCAACCAACTAGTAGCATGGGACTACCTTAACAATATATGGACAACGGCTGCTTGGAGTTGACTCTTGCTTTTTCATTATCGAATAGTTTACTGAGAGTGTCCGATTTCGAAGAGATTACCTGTTAACACCCTTTAAATTGTTC